AGAAAAGAAAAGAAAAGAAAAGAAAAGAAAAGAAAAGTCTAAAAAGATGCACTTGAAACTGGTGACCTGGGGAAAGCAGGGCCTAGATATTTTTAAAAAGACACTTTTGCCCTGGATGGTGTGGCTCAGTGGTTAGAATGCTGGCCTGTGCACTGAAAGATCTTGGGTTTGATTCCCACTCCCGGTCGGGTTGCATTCGGGAGGCAACCAGTCGATGTGTCCCTCTCACATCTATGTTTCTCTCTCTCTCTCTCTCTCTCTCTCTCTCCCCGCCCCCTTCCCTTTTACTCTCTCTGAAAAAGCCATGGAAAGATATCTTCAGGTGAGGATTAATTAAAAAAAAAGACATTTTTCTTTTTCCTTTCTATTCTTCTAGATTACTTGAAAGTACTAAACAGGCAGATATTTGAAAATTAAACCCTTAATAAGATGTATTTTTTTACTGTGGCAAAAAAATTTCAAATAAGAAAAGCTTGAAGTAAGAAAAGGATAGCTTTGGGTTACTTAGCAGTTGTAATCACGCTGTTCTCTATTGGAATGTGATATCAGGAAAGAAATGTTCTTGAAGTTCAGCCTTAGTATGCAATGGCAAAATGTTCACTTAGCTCCAGACCACCTCAAGAAAAAGCTAGTAACTAATCGGGGGAAGCTTTAATTAAATTATAAAAATCATAAAGTCCTCTGTCCCAAGGCAGGTTTCATATAAAAAAATTTATGTACTTGAACATTTAACCTTACTTTAAGAGCTTCAGAGAAGGATTTTATGTAACTTTTCTCAATTCCTTTGGGCATTTTCTTTGTACATCCCTTCCTTCCGCCCCTCAGCAACACACACACACACAGATACACTGGGGTGATCAAGCTGTCCTGGTGTGCACAAGACTGTCCCAGTTTTAAAAATGAAAGTCCCACATCTCAGGAACCTCTCAGTACTAGGCAAACTGAGATGGCTGGTCACCCAAATAATACAATCCAGAGACGTGGATTACTATTCATTTCGAGGAATTAACTGTTAATTTGAGATGGCAGCATGACACTAAGAAAAGTCAGAAACTTCTAGGTTAGAACTCCTGCCCCTGCATTCACATGCTAGGGGAAATTAATGTAAGCAACAGTCCCTTCACATCTGTACAGCACGTGGATAAGTATGACTGTATTGCAGCACTGTTGTCAGAGCAACCTAGGAACAGATGTAAAAACACCTGGCACATTTTACATTCCCAACAAATCTTAGGGTTTGTTTTTTTTTCTGGCTACTTGTTTTTAAAGTGAATTTCAGGAGGAACTTCTAGTTATTTAATCATTTTCTTTATATACAGTAAGTGGAATTCCATGTAATCTCATAAAATAAGACTGTATTATGTATTAATGATTTTAAACAACAGATGAAGTTTAATGCTCAAAAATGGTAGTTGAACATTTTTACCTGAAGATTGTTGAAATCTACTCTCATAATTTCAAAGCACTCTGTCAAAGCTAAATATCCTCCAGGAACTCGACTCATCTTTTCAGTTGTATAAGGTTCAACTGTTTCTTCGGTATCTACAGAAGAATAAGTTGGACTCTGAAATTTCACATTTGTTGGCAAACGGATCCCAGCAATGTCCTTAATGCCCACCCTGGTGAGACAGGAATTAAGAGGGCGGAGGGAGAAAGATGGGGTTCTTTTATAGAATCAAGTAGCACCATCTATTACTGAATCCAGCAAAAATAAACATAAAAATGAAATAAAACTTCAGAGACAAAGTTTTCTTAAACACAATCTTATGCATAATCACTAACTATAAAGGAAAACATAATAGGCCCACATTAAAATTAAGAACTGTTCATCAAAAGATACCCAGTAAGATAGGAAAAAGGCAAACCACTGAATAGAAAAGATTTGTAATACATCTGTTCAACACAGGGCTCATATCCAAAATATATTTTTTAATTCCTACAAATTAATAAAAGAAAAACAAAAATTGGCAGAAGACTTAGACACTTCACAAAAGAGCATATCCAAATGGCCAATAAACATATGAAAAGTTGCTCAGATTTATGAGCCATCAGGGAAATGAGGTTAAAACCATACTACACAAACATCAAAATGGAGAAAAAAAGTCAATACTAAGTGCTGGTGAGAATACAGTCTCATACACTACTGGTAGGAGTATAAAAAAATTAATAAGGCCTCTTTGGAAGACTTTCATAGTACCTAATCAAGCTGAACATAATCTATTCCAGATTTACTCAATATAGAAACCTTCTAGGAATATGGTCCACAAAAATTAATACACGAGATCACCGAAAGAATGTTCAAGAATGTTTACAGCTGTACTATTTCCAGTGCTCAAAAACCTGCCAAAAATGGACAAATGTACTGTGGTGTATTCATACAATGGCATACTACACAGCAATGAGAATGAACAAACTGCACACAAGAACATGGATATGTTGGGACAAAAGCTAGGCACAGAAAAAAAATACTGTATCATTCCATTTGTGTGAAATTCAAAAGAGGCAAAATCACCTATGGTGTTAGAAGTCAGGATAACGGCTAATCTTTGGGGGTGGGGTGAGTGCCGGTAACTGGCAGGGGTTTCTTTCTGAGGACTTTCTGGGGTGTGGGTGATGTTCTGGACCTTGATCTGAGCACTGGTTACACAGGTGTATCAGCTTCATGAAAATTCATCAAATCATAAACTTATGATTTATGTACTTGCTGTAATAATGATTGATGTCAATAAAAATTTTAATTATAAAAAACACTTCACGAACATTTTAGCAACACCATATTATGAAGGGAAATACTCCAACCTCATCTCATCTCAGAGATACTCATTTATTAGTGTATCTGACTTTGAGAAGTTCAAATAGTCTACTAGGAATTATTTTATTATACCTCAAAAGATGAATCAATGGAATTATTAATGATTTTAGTAACTCAATTCAAAGTCACAAGTTACAGAAACATAAGGATGTGACAAATAAGTTCCTTTTAATTTCTTATAAAATAAATGAATATAAACTTGTTAAAACCTTCAAACAGTATAGTAAAAAGTAAGTCTACCTTCACAGTAGTCCTCTGTCCCCATTTCTTCACTGTTATATTTAATGTGTATCCTTTCATACCTTTTCTCTTTATACTTATGTGTCTAATATGTATGTATGTTGCTCAGATGTATTAGGTGTTTCTNATATTTAATGTGTATCCTTTCATACCTTTTCTCTTTATACTTATGTGTCTAATATGTATGTTGCTCAGATGTATTAGGTGTTTCTTCTGCTCTTAACTCTTTATTTTGAAAATTTCAAATTTATAGAAAAGCTTCCAGGATAGTCTAAAGAATGCCCACATCCTTTAACCAGATTAATCAAATTTTTTTAATATTCTGACGCATTTGTTTTATCATATTCTCTCTTCTCTCCATATATAGTCTTTCTTCTGAACCATCTAAGAGTAAGTTGCATTCATCATGCTCATTTACCCCTTAATAGATACTTCAATGCATTTTATTACAAATGGGGATATTTTCTCAATCATATTACAGTTATCAAATTCAATATTCTCTAATCTTCAGCCCATATTCAATATTTGTCAAATGAATCCCGTAGAGTTTTTTTCTCCCTGATACAGGATCAGGATTTCAATTTAGCTGTCCTGTGTCTTTAATATCTTTTAATCTGGAACAGTTCCTCATCCTTGTTTTCTTTCTCATGACATTAACATTTTTGAAAAAGGTAGGTCAGTTATTTTATAGAATGGCCCCCAACTTGGGTTTGTCTGAGGTTTCCTCAATTACATAAAAGTTATACATTCTGGATATAATACTGCATAATTGATATATCCTCAAAGTATCAAATCTGGAGGAATCTCACTGATGTTAAGTTTCTTCCCTGTATCCTTAACCTTTTTTTGGTAGTAATTTGTGAGGAGATACTTTGAAACTATATAACCACCCTGATCCCCATCAAATCCCTCCCTCTGATGTAGCATCTATTCATAATTTTCGCCTGCATTTTTCCATGAGGATTACAAATAGCAATTCTGCATCATTAGCTCTGTATTTTGAATCAGCATTCAACTGTAAGGAGGAGTTCCCTTTTATCCTCATTGATATATTTATTAATCTATTTATTATAATTAGAGACTCATGGTTTCTTATTTTAGTCAATGGGTTTTAATCCATAACTGCCCCACTAAAAAACTGAAAGCTGGTTTTAATCCTAGAATCCTAAAGTTTAAAAAAATTCAAAAAGAAAATTAAGGCTGGAAAATATATCATGAATTTAAAGGTCAGAAAACGACAACCTCTTTTCCAAATAAATATTCATTAAATAACCTTCGAAATATAGTCTACTCCTTAAAATATAATTTTTAATTTTTTGCTATTTAATCACTTACCTATGATGTCTTCTGATTTCTGCACATTCTACTGCCATGCCAAATATAACAGCACTTGCTGGAATAACTTTCCCATACTTTCCACAATTACCATTTTCACCTTTGGTCTAAAAATATAACAATAAAAGTTATATTCAGTTACATGTATGAGAAAATATGTGTGTATGATGACATGCTATAAAAACAAGAAAAAACTTAAAAAATAACAGGCAAAGATAAGCAGGTTAAAGTTTTGTTCTTTAAAACATTTTATTTTCATTGCTATATGTATGTATTTATATATATGTTTCATATATATATCTATATATCTATATATATATATTTTACATTACAAACAGGAAGAGAAGGAAGAGGGAAGGGGGAGTTATAAGGGTATAGACAGCAAAAAACTATTGGATATGACTTTAATTGAGAAACCAAAATCACCATTACCTAACTTAAAAAACAAACTGTTCTTCTTTTCAACCTGTAGCTATTTAAACTCAAATCACTTTCTGTAAGTAGTGAGTTCTTATTACATGTTAAAATAGTTTATTCATAATATGTATTATGTAAACCAAATCTACAATTTGTATAGGCCACAGTAAAGGGTTTTAATGCAAAATATAATTTAGTAATTATAAGAGTTAATTCTGTCCAATTACTAGCCTGGGTTCAACTACGTAGTACCTTAAAACTAGTACCCAGACAGCTATTACTATACTCTCTTGATAAATTGCCAAAAATCCAAGCAGTGAGGGCTGTGAGACTGAAAATACTTCTTTTCTCAACCCTGCTCAAGAATTCAATAGTCAGTCTCTTTACAATATAATCTCAATTCCTATGAATTCCTTCCTGGAGTATTTTTTGCCTGTATACCCAATTTGGGCATACAAGTATACACTGCATTATGTTATTAAATGTTTTTTTAATGGATTTCTTTCCAGTAGGGGCACAATAAACATCAGTTAAAATAATGAATTCTTAATCCAATTTAAGTATTTTCAATGCTGCTTACCTTTGGCTGCAAAAGTAAATGCTCCCATGCATGAATCAAACTCTCCACAATTCCTTCTCCAAATAAACCTGCATCGACAGTTTCTGTTACAACTAGGGACACTCTACAGAATGATTTTTTAAAGATATATGTAAGTAAAATATCATGCTCTTATATAAAGATGTCAAAGCTGAGAGAAAAAAGGAAGAGTATATTATAGAAACAGTCCACAGTAAAATTTCCTAATACATTTCGTTTTTAATATCTACTCTTGAATCCTGAAGAACTTGACTCTATGTTCCTCAGGCTCCTCTGTATTCCTCTGTCTTCCACTGAAAACTTCTTGGGGGGCGGGCACACAACCTTCACTTGACCCTGCGGTCCCCTCAGACTATTCTTTCATTGCCGAAATCCGTAAGGGTAGCCCATACCCATTAACTTTACCAGTCCCTCTCTTTAATGCTGACTAATTGGACTTCTATCCCCAACACTCTATATAAAAATACTCCGCACCATCAATGACTCCCCTACTTATCAAAAAGAATACTCTCTCTCAGTTTTCATTTTCCTTGATCTACAAATAACATTGAATGCAGGTGAGAAGCCCTGCCTCTCAAAATCCTTCTCTACCTTCATTATCCACTTTTACCTCTTACACATTAACTGTGCCTCTTCTGTTACTTCTCTTGCTTTACCCACTACCTGTGAGTTTTCACAAAAGTCTAGTCCACAGAGCTCTGATCTTCTGTGTTCATTATTTCTTTCTAAAAAATTTCACTCAAAGACACACCAAAATGATTTATTTCTCCCTTCTCTAAATTTCTTTAGCACTTACGGTATCATTCATTTGTGTAGTTAGAAGATAAAAAAGTTTCATGACTATTCCTTATCTTCCTATCTAGATCGTAGGTGCCTTGAGCAAACAGCTTTGGTATCCCCCAGTGCCTAAAACCAGTATTTTATATAAACACAAATTTTCAATATTTATAATTACATACATTTACAAAGTGGAAGGTATCGCAAACATTTAGTCCAACATCTTAAAGTCTCTACATTTGTTCAGGGTCAAAATAAATTAATAATGGAGTCTGTATTGGACTCCACATCTCCTGATTCAAAGCCAGTAGATCCTCTACAATACTATTTGTGAGAAAAATGTATTTACTTATTTTTTTTTTTTTTTTTTTTTTTTTAGAGAGAGAAATATAATATGAGAGAAAAATACTGATTGGTTGCCTCCCACAAGCACCCCGACGGGATGGAATCCGCAACCCGGGTATGTGCCCTGACCAGAATCAAACCCGCCACCTTTTGGTGTACAGGATGACACTCCAACCAACTAAGCCACACCAGCCAGGGCAGAAAAATGTATACATTAAATTAAGGTATCTTTGATTCATACTATGGACTGAACTGTGTAGCACCAAAATTCATGTAAGTCCTAACCCCCAATGTGACTGTATTTGGAGAGAGGGTCTTTAGAAGGTAATTAAGGTTAAATGAGATCACAAAGGTAGATAAAACTGGTGTCCTTATAAAAGTGGAAGAGACACCAGTGATCTCTCCCTCTCCTCAGATGCACAGAGAAAGGCCATTTGGGAACACAACAGGAACGCAGCCATCTGCAAGCTAGGAAAAGAACTCACTAGAAACCAAATTTGCCAGCACTCTTTGATCATGGACTTCTAGCCTCCAGAACGGAGAGAAAATAAATGCAGTCTGCAGTACTTTGTTACGGTGGCCTGAGCAGACTAAGACAATTCAGGATACTGTCTGTTTCTATAAAACGGGTACAATATCTATTTCAACAATCTAATAGGACTTCTATTTCATGAGAGCAAATGTAGAGACCATAGAAAAGCATAAGTACTATGTCAATATAAATATTATTATACATATATGAAAGACATTTTAAAATCATAGTCCAAATGGCAAGAGTATAAATATAAGCCCCATTGCAATATAAACTGAATTTAAATAAGATGAGGAGACTACCCAGGAGAGGTAGTAAAGCAAGTACTACTTAGAGAAAACTATATTTAAAATGATAGTGTTGGACCAGAAGATTTTAAATCCCTTCTAGCTCTAAAATCCCATCACCCTTGAAATATGGATCAAAGAAAGATAACACACTAAAAAGCCAAGACTTATGAGATAATATTCAAAGCATCGAAAGGGCCCAAACCACTGACAACTGAAATTCCCAAAACTTTCAATTTAGCCAAGCATATTAACACAAAATGTAGTAAGTCCACCAAAGCTGATCTACTCATGTTTTAGAGTGGAATTTTTAAATAGCTATTGACCACATAGGAGGTATTAATCTATTTTTACTACTAGAACACTAAAATTAACAAAGATAAACTGGCTAAAGGTCAGGTCTCTTTATTAAGTCCCTTGACATAAATTTTTCTCAAGATCTTTAAATATTTATTATCAAGAATATGACCTTACTATGAAAACTCATCTTATGCTAGACTATCCTATATCTATAACTTTACAGTATAAGGGTTTTAAAATTTCTGTTGGGACTAGAAGCCAGAAATATAAGTAGCTTACTTTTTAAAAAATAAAACAGTGGATCATAAATACTAAAATTAATTCACATTATAATACCTTTCAGGAATGTGTTTTGGAATTTCTATGTCAAGCGACTTCATATGTAAGAGTTTGATCCCTGCTTCCATCTTGTTCGCTGCCACTACATCACAGGCAAGTTCATACATGGTCTGGGATAACTCGCAGGCATACACCGAGTGCGCTCCGGCTCTTTTAGCAAACATACTACAAGAGGAAAAAGTGCTCCATCAAGCAAAAATTATCCACTGTCTTTTTGGAATTGTAATATTTAAACATGCGGTTTTCCTTTTGTTCCTTAACACAACCATTATTCATTCCACATTTAAAAAAATGAACTAATATTCTTGTCAAGAAACAAATCATACAATAAGTTATGACGTCCAGCCGATTAAGAAGACGCACTAGACATGAAGAACACTAATAGACTTAAAAACTAGATTCAACCAGAATATTAATGTAAAAATACTACTGAAATTCATTATTCAAAATTTCAATAATAACCCCAAATTTTTCTTAGTAGTTAAGCCCAGTTCTTAATAAATTAAAACACAAGTACAACAAACCTTAGTATTCCAGTTCCTGCTCCAATGTCCAAAACACTTTTGGATCCCAAACAAACAGCCTTTTGGATTGCTGCATTATAAATCGTGTTCCTTTTGGTGTCATTAAGCATGATAAAGTGCCAACGTTCCACCAACCAATTTGCAACACGGTAAAAATTCTCCTTTGCATCGCTGAAATCAGGGTTTAGCTTCACTGCTTTATGAAAATACCCAGCTGCTTCATCTCTAAAGCCCATCCTAGGATAAAAAATGACAGACAAAAAATTCAACTATATGCTATCAATTACAGTGCCTTCGTTCATGCCACTCATCTGGCCTGCAAATCCCTCACCAGCACATCAAATCCCACTCAAACAGGTGATACAGAATAATTCTTATGAGTAATCTGAAATCACTACACACCTGAAGAGATGCTCCCCCATACTATTGCAAATCACTTCATCATCAGGAAACAGTTTCAGAGCTTGCTCATAGCAACCAAGTAAGTCTTGTGTTCTACTGAGAGCATCAAGCTCTTCAGCCCATCTGAAGAGTGTGTACTGAAAAGTTTCCTTTACAAAAGAGAAAACAGTAAATTAGTCAATAACAAAAATGAGGAAAGAACATACATGTTGAAGATTCCCCAGAGAATAAAACTTAACTATAATTGAAAGATCACCTTAAATTCTATTTAGCTTTAAAAGGCATTGTTTACTAAACAAACAAATACATAAATGAACAAATTTTACCACCTTCATGGTAGTAAATTAGACAGATTGACCACTCTCTAAACTCTCCCTACTCTTAGCTGCCATTTCACTTTCTCCACCTACCTCCTTTTTGTGGGCTTCTGTGTTTTGGAGGTTTGTCCTTGGACTTCTCTTTTTTCATCCATCCCCAATGCATTAACTATCACCTATGTGTTGACGGATGCTACATCTACATCTCCAATCCCGACCCTCTTCTGAACCTCAAACTCATAATATAACTTCCCTCAGTCAACTCAAGTTCTGCTCAACTCAAATATCTTCTCAACAATCAGTGTGCAAAGAATAGCATGAACAACATAAATCCTGTTCCTATCCTCACAGAGGCCTTGTAGAGAGCATTTTAACATAAATTTTGAAAAAATTCAAAATGTTCTAAACAAACCCATCATATTCCTCTCACACAGATATAAAGTACTACCTGATAGAAAACCATGAAGTCACCTTATAATGCTACATTAACTCCAATACAATTAGTTTCAAACTCAGCCTATTCTCTCTCAATATCTTTACATCTGTCACCTCCTTTCCATCCCCAGTGTTACTACAACATAGTCTGGACTTTTTAACCACTTGCTGGACTACAGTCTCCCTACTGTCACCCTCACTCTAATTATATCTCCCTCTAGACATTCTCCACACTGCAACACAGTGGAAAGGCTTTAGTCATTCCAGCTTTATCACGAACACATTTTACAATCATCTTCGCGTATTTTATACAGAAGAGTTAATACCTGAAACAATTCTGATGAAGTTTACTAGAGAGCCAAGAATAAGGAGGAAGATTCTAGGGTGTGAAGGGAAAAAAGCACAGTTTATATGAAATGGATCAGGGAATCGATAGGTAAGTAGGTTGGTATGGCTGAAGTGTGGATATGGGGTGAAGCGGGAGTAACAGGAAATGAGAATAAAGACAGAGGTATTTTGCAAAGGCCCAGGCAAAGAAATATGGACTTTGTTCTGTAGGAAACAGAGCAAGTCACTGAATGCCAAGCATTGACATACAAATTTTAGATGTAATTTTAATACTCATTAAATATCTATAAAAAAGGTATTGTCCCTGTTTTACAAAAGGAAACTAAGGAACAAAGAGAGGAAATGCACTCCAAATGATCCATTCTACTGCTACCTAGAAAAGCAAACTGTATCTAAACATATCATCTTCTCCTCCTTTAAGCCAGCTGGTTCTGAAATTCACACTAAATTCATGCAACTACAGATGTCTAGAGGGTACTGGTATCTAGTGGATGGAGGTCAGGGATGTTGCTAAACATGATGAAGCAAACAGGACAGCCCTCCACAACCAAGAATTATCCCATCCAAAATGCCAGTAGTCCTGAGGTTGAGAAACCCTGAGTGAAATCAAGCTAAGTAGCTTGAGGCTGAAAGCAGAATGCAAAATCAAATCATTTTTGCAAATTAAGATAAATTCTAAAATAACCTGAAAAAAAACACCTACAGCATTTCAACAGAATAACTGCCACAAATAATCCAAAAATTGAAGCTAAACGAATGCATCATCAAATGAATGCTGGAGGTTAATTCCAAAATGTATTCAATTATAGAAACGCTTGACATTCCTCCTGTATACAGCCGCGGCAAGTGCAAAGGCCCTGAGGCAGAAACATGCTAGAATTCAAAATAGAAAGTGGGAGATGATCACCTGAGGCCACCTTTGCAATACAGCCTTTGAAATTTGAGCGAGGAGTTTTGAATTAGAGAAGTGCTGTCATCTGACTTTTGTTATGAAAAGCTCTCGCTGGCACCAAGGAGAAACTGCAGGAGAAAGCCCAGTAGCCAGCCTATTCCAGCGGGCAGCAGATGACTGAGGCCTAACCAGGTTTGCAAAGGAGGAGGTGGTGAGAAGCGATAAGATTCGGGAGAGACTTTGAAGGTGGAGCAGACAGGATGTTCCGATGGGCTGGGCGTGAACAAAAGAAGTCAAGACTGAAAGGTAAATATGAGTAGCAACCACCAGCCGCTCAACTGAGCCCCTTCTCCCAATTTATTTACGTATTTATTTCCTTTTAGGAGAAGAACAGAGGATCTGCAAGCGAGTGAGAGAAAGAAGGGCTCTTCTCACCTTCACGTCGTCTTTCAGCTCCGGCGCCAGGCTGAGCACGAGGAGGTAGTGGGCGTAAGCGGTGCCGAAATCCTGGGCACGCATGCAGTGCTCGGCGCTCTGCAAGGACCGCGACACCAGCTCGTCCCGCC